AGGAAGGAAGGAAGGAAGGAAGGAAGGAAGGAAGGAAGGAAGGAAGGAAGGAAAACAGACCCCACTTGTCTTTATAGACCGAACAAAGGGCAGAGTCAGTACAGGGAGGCCAGCCGCTGGCATCAAAAGCGCTTAGGGCCGGCCAAGGCATTAGGCAGAATGAAGCAGCTGCCTCGCGCAGCTGGTTTTAAAGGCCATAACAAGGCATTAAATTCCTTGTTATTCATTTGTCCAGCTAATTTAGAATTCCCTGTCCTATAATTGAGAAACTACTCATCAGCAAAGTATTTAATCACGATATATGGCGAGGGGGGGGGGGGGGGAGAGAGATTACTTTGAGCTGGAATTCAGTCCTAAGGTGAATGTCCTTCTAACGCAGGGCATGGCCTTAGAACGCATGAAGGCTTTCGTATAGAAAAACTGTTTCTAGAGCGTGTGGCAACAAACCGCATTTCCTTCAGCACTGAAGAAGTTGCCCATAGTCAAGGACAATGCTAAACAGTTTCCAAGATCAAAGGTTTGACTTTCAACATGTTGGAACTCACAGGAGGAATCTTAACTAGCTTGTAAGGAGAATACATGAGCTGTATTCACACAGTAGCTCTCCATAGTTAACTGAACCAGGGTTTATTCAATTAACCCAATTTTAAGGGTCTACCTAAGACCCTGAACTATAAACTGCTCCCTGGGCTGGGTTGGCCCCTGCAACTTTCCCTTCCAGGAAAGGAAGATGGCCAGATACGCTAATGGACCATTGTCTATTAATGTTAACAGCCCTGGGCTAAATGGCTCAATGTCTATTGACCCATTGACCCATCGAATAATAAATAATAAGAATACATAAGAAAGAACCAATAAAGATGTTTCTTATATACTTCCCCCTTGAGAAATTAATGATTGTGGATGTGCATCAGATCTGAGTTTAAGAAATACTAAGAGCCTGGTTCCTATTTCACCTCTGCCTCAACACACAAATGACTGCATTAAGGAAGCATTAGCCCTTCGAGGTAGTCCAGACAAGAAGTACAACTGTAAGTTCTATCTCTATCTTTGTTGTAATATTGCATTAACAGAATCTTGCAAATCTGAAAGTATTCCTCCCCTCCTTTATTTTACTCTCCAGAAAACTAGGGAAGATTCCTTCTGAAACGCTTCCCACGCCTCCCCTCCTTCTGTGGACTGAGATGTCGTTTACATGCTGGTTATCTGGGCTGCAGCTCTTCCTCCTGTCTCCCAAGGTTATTCCCATGTACCATTACCAGAAGTCACATTTGTCTCCCTCTTTCCACCTGTATAATAACCTTGCATTTACTTACAAGGTATCATAAATAGAAAATGCAACATGCTTGAAAACAATACCCCAATATTAAGTTTACGTGGTTAGCACCCGATTGCATCGCTTACCCGTGGTTTCAACAATGCCTTCAAGGATTACAACAATTTCAAACTGCTCACTCCTTAGGGATCTTTGCGAGAGTGCAAAAAAAGGACTCTTGTCATTGATTTCATGGCAGATGGTTAGAGGAGAAACGAGGAACAGTTGGTCGGCCCCAGTTCCAAATCCAACATCAAGCTCGCATTGGTCTAGTGGCAGGAATTCACCTTCTGGTGTCTGTCGTGACTAAAGATAAATGGAAAGAAAGAGAAATAATTCCAGCAAGTTAAGAACTAATTTTGCAGCAGAAAGGAAGGGAACGCTTTTCAGTATAATTCAGAGCACCCTGCAAACTGCAGAGGCTTGACAAAAATTAACTTGGGAGATTTTAGGGTAGAACTCAATGACAAACTGGATTTTATTGGAACAGATTTGAACTCAGCCCCCTTCCACAATTCACTGAGCAGTTCAGATCAGGCCCTCCATGCAGTCTAATTTATTTATTTATTTTATTTATTATTAATAATAACAGGTGACTCTGGGCGGCTAATCCAAGATAGGACCCATTCCTCCACGCACAAACGATTTATAATCGGGCATTCCTGTGAATCGCCTAGTTTGGTCCCAGAGATCAATGCCCATTTGTTACATGAAGTAATGAAATAGTTGTTTCCAAAATCACTTAATTCAAATGTTGTGAAAGAAAATCCACCTGTACATCAGTTCCAGCCTTCCCAACTTCAAACACCCTTCAGATGAGTTGGTCTACAATTTTCAAAATTCTCAGCAAGGACATATGCCAAACATACACAGAGGTCCTCAAGTTGGAGAAAGGTGAGTAAGATACATTCATTTCTAAAGTTACCAAGCCCATCGGGCCTCAAGTGAGTGAGTCATGGCAGTTTATCTTCTCTTCAGATTCGAAAGAACCTGTCAATATGGCCCCTAGTGGGTCCCTTCCTTGTGGAGGGGGAAGGCTGACATTACCATGTAAGGGGACTGGACCTACATGGCAGGGAGAGATAGCAGCAGTAATGTTGAGATGACTGACTTTAGGACGGCATTTTGATTTTCTATAATAGTCTGTAGCAACGTTTTCACTGGTGAGCACTGTGAGATTGTAGTCTTACCAATGTACCGGATTATTCCTGTATCTAAAATCTTTACAGCTGACCATTTTTGAAGATGAAAGGACAACCAGCTAAGCTGAGTGCTGTTCTGCAGCAACAGTTATTTCTTATCATTTAGGCCAAATGAGCCATTACTTCCATTATGATGAGACTAGTAAGCCTGTGACCCTCCAGATGTCTCTCAATTTCCAGCAGCCCTCAGCATTGGCAGTAATGCAACAAAAGGAGGACTACAAGTCTTCTTGATCTAAGAAGTTCTTGAGAAGACATTTTCTGCTTGGCTCTTTGTGTGAGTCATCACTTGAATCTCTAAAATCCTGGAGCAAATTACATGTGCAAACTGGATGCCTCCCTCTCCTTCACCTTTTCTCCACACAATGCCAACCTGGTGTAAGAAAGAAGGATTTTACTGAAGCAATACTTTGAATGGTGATAGTTAAAAGAAATACTGGTGTCATAATTAGTATGAAGAAAGTAGCAAGATGTCCACAGTTGATACAGAGAAAATTGGCTTTAAAATTAAAAAGGGAAAAAAATCTAATGAAGATAGAGGAGCGGAGTAATATATGGCTGGCCAAACGTAAATCCAAGGTAGTTGGAACTAAAACTGGCATCTCTAAACTCTATGGTCTTCTTCCATACCTCTCTATTTTATCTTTTTGTCACAAAAGCACCAGCAGAACTTACCAACCTACATGAGGCCAGGGATATGTTCCTGTTTAGCGGTCACTGTTGAGAGAAGTAAGCCCCCCCCAACTTTCTAAAATTAGCATTGAATTCATCTGCTCACCAAATGTGATGCTCTGGTCCTGTCCAGCCAAAGATTCTTTATTATGCCCCTCTTTTTCTCTCTCTCAAGGGAATGGGCTTCCCTGCCCCTGATGAGAAGAGCCAAGAAGGTAGTTAAAGGTTTTCTGAAACATCCTTGAAAACATATTCAGGGGAAATGACTGACAGCCACAGAAGCCTGCTTCTTTTCAAGCTGCAGACAAAACATCAAGGAAAGCTGGTAACTTTGCAACAAGGCTTAGAAGCAGAAGCTAATGAGTTCAAGTCAACTCCACAAACAGCTTGACTTCCAGGGAAGAAATGGTGAACTGAAGACGACTCCATTAAAAGCAAAGCCAACAACCATGGCAGAATGAAGAGCCAACGAGTAGACTAGCTCTTCATAATTCCTCTCGGGACAAGGAGAGGACTTGAGATTGCCCACAAGTGCTCCATACAGTTGCTCCTCGCAAGGAGACCACATTCAGCAGTCTCCAATGTGTTTAGAGCTCTGGGAGATGAGGGAATAGCCATCTTGCTCAAACTGTGGTTGGTGCCTTCAAAAAAGGACACTGGGTTCACAAACTTCCTTTTCTACTCACTTTCAAAAATTGCTTGTTAACTGCTTTTCAGCTATTAGGAACCTTTGAATCAACAAGTTTTACAGCACCAGGTGAGTTTCCTGCAATCCTTAGCGAAAGAAGTTTTAAATACAAGTTTACGGACTTAATTTCTTTTTCTTTTAGAATAATCAGCAAAAAGGTGATTAGAACTTTGATTATGGAAAATTACAAATGGACTAAGGGTCCAGATGGATTTTGAAATTAATCATAAGAATCCTTTCCTGTGGGAAAATGCTTTTCTTTTGAATTATCTTAAAAAAAGCATGATAGGGTGAGACTTTGAAGGTTGGACACTAGAGGGAACCAGAAGGAACTAAAGATTAA